CAAATCTGACTTGCTTTCCTCAGAGGCAGCATTCATTTCTGGTATGTTCTCACTTGGGGATATCTTTCTTCTGGTTTCTTCAAAACCTGTCTCCATTTCACCTACAGACTTGACATCCTCTGGGGCCTTTTTTGGTGGGGATGTTTCTTTTCCTCCAGTTTCTTTCAAATCTGGCTCTCTTTCCTCAGAGGAAATCATTTCTGGTTTCTTCTTCCTTGGAGAAATCTCTCTTTCGGGGTTTTCCAAATCTTTCCCCATTTCACTTACAGTCTTGACTGTCTTTGAGACCCTTTCCTGTGGGAGTATTTCCCTTCCAGTTTCTTCCATATTTGTCTCTCTTTCCTCAGAAACAGCAATTATTTCTGGTATTTTCTTCGTTGGAAGAAGCTCTGTTTCAGTTTTTCCCCATTCTTTCTCTATTTCATCTATAGTCTTAACTTTCTCTGGGACCTTTTCCTGTGACAGTATTTCTCTTCTTCCAGTTTCTTCCATATCTGTATCTCTTTCTACAAAGGCAGTAGTCATTTCTGACATTTTCTTCCTTGAAGAAATCTCACTTTTCATTTTTTCCAAATCATTCTCCACTTCACCTATAGTCTTGACTTCCTCTGGGGCTTTTTCCAATGGGGATACTTCTCCTCTAGCTTCTACCAAATCTGTCTCTATTTCCTCAAGGACATCAGTCACTTCTGATACATTTATCCTTGGAGAAATCTCTTTTTCAGTGTCTCTCATTTCCACTGCATTGTCAATTATTTCTGGTGTTTTCTCTCTGAGACAGGTGTCTCTTCTTCCAGTTTCTAATGAATCTGTATCCTTAGCAGTATTAGCCTCCAATGTTACCATCTTCCTTGGTGAGGTTTCTAGTGTTGAAATTTCTCCCAAAGCTGACTCTATTTCCTCAGAGGCAAGTAACTTCTCTGGTACGTCTTCCCTTGAGAAAATTTCTCTTCTTCCAGATCTTCTTCCTATATTTGGTTTTGGTTTTTGAAATCGAGTCCTTACAACTGGGGCTTGCTTGAGTACATCTGCTTCGTTATCCTCTTGAATACTACAAAAGAGACATACAATTACGTATTAAACCAGACTACCAGTGGAAGAGATGATGGGCAGGAGACACCACAAACTCTCAAATTTAACAGTGGTGGGGGGAAAATCCATCTTTTGAAATTGCATTAATATTTTAAAAAATTGTATTTCTTTATAAACAGGTATATAAAAAGAGAGCTGTATTAGCAGTATCACTCAGTGAAGCAGATAATTGGCCTTGGACCATTCCTTTTCTAAATGTCAATCTTACCATCCTATTCAAATGTGGCTGGAAAAAGACTCTCCCATACTCTGCAACACAGCTACATCACCGTGTTCTGCTATTTCTACATGTTTGCCACTACTGACGTTACACTGAGTAATATTTCGTCTTCACTCGTCTGTCCGTTTGTTGTACTGCAGTGGCTTGCATGTTGCTGTGATGCTGGAAGCTATGCTACCAGTAATTTCAGTACCAGCATGCGCTGTAGGATAAGCACTCAAGGTCGGTTTGAACTGCAAGTTTGGTGGTTCAAATGCACCAGCCACACCTCAGAAAACACTATACAGGGTCGGTATGGGTCAGAACTGACTCGACAGCCCTGAGCAACAACAAAGGTCACCTTTGATAGACAGGTTACGGCTGAGTTTCGAGATTGGAAGAAGGAGAGGTGGACTACTTCTACATGTTTAGCCGCTGAAAACCTTCTGAATAGCAGTGAAGCACTATCAGAAGAATACAGAAATATGAATAACACCAAATATTGTCAGATACACTGCCAAAGATGAGTCACAGAGGTTGGTAGGTACTCAAATTTGAGAAAGAGCTGCCTCCACAAAGTGGAATTGAACATGATGACATGAATGGAGTAAAGCTTTCTGGACTTTCATATGCAAATGGTGCACAACTCAAAATGAGAAAAAGTTATAAACATCCATTAATAATCTGAACATGGAATGCATGAAGTATGACTCTAAGAAAATTGAAAGTTGTCAAAAATGAAATGATATGCGTAAAGATTGATATCCAAAGCACTGGTGAGCTGAAATGGGTTGGTATTGGCCATTGTGAATCTGATAATCTATGACTTACTACCTTGGGAATGACATATTGAAGAGCAATGGTTTCACATTCATCATAAAAAAGAACATTGAAAAATCAATTTTGAATGTACTTCTTCAAATGTCCAACCAAAATGAAAGGATTCTTTATATCAAGAATCAAGACATGAAAGAAGAAAAAAGATCAAAATGGATGTCAGAACTGACACTGAAACTTGCTCTCCAGAGTAGCGATGCTAAAGCAAATGGAAGAAATGAGGAGGTACAATAGTTGAACAGAAAATTACAAAGGTCAGCTCAAGAAGACAGAGTCAAATATTACAATGAAATGTGCAAAGATCTGGAGTCAGAAAACCAGAAGGGAAGAATACACTCAGCATTTCTTAAGCTGGGGGAACTGAAGAAAAAATTCAAGCCTTGACTTTGGTTATTGAAAGATTCTCTGGGCAAACTATAGAACAATGCAGAAAGCATCAAGAGTAGATGGAAGGAATACACAGAGTTACTGTACCAAAGGATATGGTTGATATTCAACCGCTTCAAGAGGTAGCATATGTTTGAGAACCAGTGATATAGAAGAAAGTCCAAGGTGTATTGAAAGAATTGGTGAAGAACAAGTCACCAAGAATTAATGGAATAAAAACTGAAATCTTACAAGAAAGTGAGGTGGCACTGGAGGCACTCACTCATCTATACCAAGAAATTTGGAGGACAACAATTGGGCAAATGATTGGAAGACATCCATATTTGTGCCCATTCCAAAGAAAGGTGATCCAACAGAATGTGGAAATCAACAGACAATATCTTTGCTATCCCATGTGAGTAAAGTTTTAGTTAAGGTATTACAGAAACGTCTACAAGCACACATTGACAGAGAACTTCCAGAGGTTCAAGCCAGATACAGAAGAGGACGTGGAACAAGGGATGTCATATCATTGCTGATGTCCGATGGATCTTCGCTGAAAGCAGAGAATATCAGAAAGATGTTTACCTGTGCTTTAGTGACTACGCAAAGGCTTTTGATTGTGTGGATCATGACAAGCTATGGACAACATTGAGAAGTATGAGTATTCCAGAACAATTAATTGTACTTCTGAGAAATCTGTACCTAGACCAAGAAGCAGTTGTTCGAACAGAGCATGGGAACACTGAATGTTTTAAAATTGGGAAAGGTGTGCAATAAGGTTGTGTTCTTTCACCATACTTATTCAAACTGTATGTTGAGCAAATAATCTGAGAAGCTGGGTAATATGAAGAAAAATGTAGCATCAGGATTAGAGGAAGACTCATTAACAACCTGTGATATGCAGAGGATACAACCTTGATCGCTGAAAGTGAAGAGAACTTAAAACATTTACTGATGAAGATCAAAGACCACAGTCTTCAGTATGGATTACATCTCAATGTAAAGAAAACAAAAATCCTCACCACTGGACCAATAAACAACATTCTTATCACCAGAGAAAAGACTGAAGTTGCCAAGATGTCATTCTTGTTGGAGCAACTATCAACACTCATTGAAGCAGCATTCAAGAAATCAAACAACGTATTGCATTAGGCAAATCTGCTGCACAAGACCTTTGTAAAATGTTGAAGAGCAAAGAAGCCAGCTTGAAAACTAAGGTGTGCCTGTCCCAAGACATTGTATTTTCAATAACCTCATATGGATGCGAAAGCGTGACAGTGAATAATGAAGACCATAGAAGAACTGATGCCTTAGAGTTATGGTGCTGGAGGAAAATATTGAAAGCGCCATGGGCTGCCCATAGAACCAGAGTGCTCTTTGGAGGCCAGGATGGCCAAATTTTGTCTCTCATACTTTGGACATATTGTCAGGAGGGACCAGTCGCTGGAGAAGAACATCATGTTTGGTAAGGTGGAATGTCAGAGAAAAAGAGGAAGACCCCGAGTGAGATGGATTGGCAAAACGGTAGCATCAATGGGCTCAGGCGTGGTAACAATTGTGAGGTTGGCCCAGGACCAACCAGTGTTTCGTTCTGTCGTGCATAGGGTCGCTATGTGTCAGTACCGATTCAATGGCATCTAACAACAACAACAAATATTTTTTGTTTTGAATGAGTACATTAACTATTTTGGCTTTGTTGATTTGTGAAAATTAAGATGTAAAAGGGAAGTCACAGGGTAGAAGGATAACCGTTGTTGCAGGGGAAAGCATGTACTCATTGAGATGAAACAAATCATGACTGGTTGAAAGTAAATCTTATGATCTTGTCTGTTTACCTTTACTCAATTTCATAATAAAAAGGTGAAAGAAAAAAGCTCTTTGAGTATAATTCTGTCTAGGATAGAAAATCATCCATATGCCTATAAGTATAACAAGTAACACCACTATTATTCCAATTTACTCCAACCACTAGAACCAGTGGTGAAACTGAATAGTTTTACCATCTTCTTCAGTCTGAAATTGATGAGACATACAATCAAGACGTATCAATAATTACTGGTGATTGGAATGCAAAGGTTGGAAACAAAGAGAAAAGATCAATATTTGGAAAAGATGGCCCCAGTGACAGAAATGATGTTGGGGATCACATGATAGAATTTTGCAAGACCATTGACTTCATTGCAAATACCTTTTTTTTTTTTTTTAAATCCAAGAATTATTCATAATTTTATTAATGATAGAAACAGTACACATTTCAAACCAACTGCAGCTAGTCTTCCGAAACACCAAAAAGAGTCCTTGTTTTCAGATGGTTACACTGTTAATTCCATAATGGCATTTACAATATCATTAGTGTTTTTCTTCAGGGATTAGACTGTCTTTGCTCTTGATACATTTGCTTGTGACGTGATCAATTTGATGTCCTTGACTTCCACACCTGTTTCATCAACCTCTTCCTCTTCACTCTCCTCTTGTACAGTTGGAGTTCATCTGTTTTCTTGAATGTTAGAGATAGCTTCACCTTGAACTTTGAATTTTTAGCAGCTGCTATCTGTGCTTACTGAGATAAATCCTTGATTTTGGCTTCTCCAAAAATTATATAGGTATCTGAGGCTGGGCTCTTGTAGACATCTGACTTTGTGATGATAAATAGGAAATTCTTAGATTTCCGGAGAGTGACTTTAGTAACCCCTGTGACTTGTCATAGACCCAGCTAGGACACAGCCTTCATGCCTTCTTTTCACTTCAACTCTGTTTTGCTTTACTTACTGGTTCTTCATCAATTTCAGCTGCTGCTGCCGGCTGGGCTTGCTGTGTGGTTGCCTGTAAATTCCTCTATTCATGGAGCTCTGGTACTGATTCATCACTGTCAGATTCTGTTCCAGACCCTGTCTCAGCTTAAGGCTGTGGCAACTCCTGCTCTGTAGCAGGGACGGTTTCTGAGGCTTCATTGGGCATTTTGTATACAGAACGCAGAACCAAGATGGCAGTAGAAAGAGCGCAAATTCCTTTTTTAAACTACAGAAAAGATGACTATAAATATGGTTCTTACCAGACAGAATACACAGAAATCAAACTCACTACATCTGTAGTAAGAAACAGTAGAAAACCTCCAAATCAAGGCCTGGATCAGACTGTGGAACAGATCATCAATTGATCATTAATTCCAAGTTAAAGCTAAAGATGAAGAAAATGAAAAAGTCTATGAGCACAGATCAACTCAAGAACAGATTTGAATCATTAGACACTATTGACTGAAGACCAGAAGAGTTGTGGGATGACATTGAGAACATCATACAGGGAACAAACAAGATGGCAGAGGAGACGGTAGAAGTGCACTGACGAGCTCCATCAGCAACAGCACAGAATACCAGACCAAACAGGCTCAGGGGATGCTCCCATCCCAGAACTCTGAACCACATATAAAGGAATATTTAGAAAGTTGGAAGGCTTGCAGCCAGTCGAATTTGTAGCAGAAGCAAGAAATCCAGTGCTTTCAACCCAAGCCACTCGGCTACTCCCTGAGCAGCCATCTTGGGCAAGTCCAAACAGGG